TTCCCCCACTTGGCACGAGGGAAAACTTGGCTCAGAGAGGTGTTGTGCCTCTCTCAAGGTCACACAGCCAAGAGGTGGCTGGGGTGGAGGCCTAACGGAGCCCCAGGTCCCGCCTCTGTCCTCGGGAACTCGCCTGCATCCTCTCCCGACGCCCCGTCCCCGGCGGGCAGCGGGTCGGGGCCAGCCTCTCCGTCGTCCTCGTCGTCGTCGTCCTCTTCGTCCTCGGCGCTCGTGAAGCTGAGGGTGCCGCTGAGGCGGGAGGACAGGCCCTCGGCGTCGTCGTCCTCCAGCTCCGAGCTCTCCGGGAACTGCTCGGCCTCCGGGCCGCCCGCCGCCTCCCCCGGGCTGTCGCCGGCCAGGGCGTGCCGCAGCCGGTGCAGGAGCCGCGAGGCCATGGCACCCTGGGGGGAGCGCGCGGCGCCGGGGCCGGGGCCGGGGCCGGGGCCGGGGTGGGAGGGAGACGGCCCCCGCCTCCCCGCGCGAGCAGGGGCGGGGCCCAGGCAGGGGAAGGAGGGGCGCCGCGGAGGCCCCGCCCCCGCCCGCTGGGGGTCCTGCGGATCCCGGGCGTCGCCTGGCGTCGCTCCCCCCTCGCTCACGCAGCTTAGGGCCGCGCTCTTCCCGGCAGAGGCTGGGGCCCTCCCCTCGGCTCTTTGGCGCCCCGGCGCGTCTCTCCCTCCTGCGCCCCGCGGTGCCCTCGGCGGCGCGCGGTCCCCCGGGGTCCGAGCGCAGTCCCGGCCGCTTACCGAGGCCGGCCGGGCTTCGCCGGGCCCGGGCAGCTCCGAGCGCCGCTTCCTGCTGCCGCCCCGCCCCCGGCCCCGCCCGCTCCCCGGAGCCTCCCGGGAATCCCGGGCCTTTCGCTCCGGGAGGGACTTGGGAATCCTGGGTAGGCCTGGGCGGACCCGAGCCGGCCGCGGGATCCTGCCCGCTCTGCGGGGGCTCCCGTCCTCAGTGAAACCCCCCGCTCGTCCCGAAGATCCACTCGGTCCCGGGTGGCCCCGATCTATCCCTGTCTCCACCCAGCACTCTAACTTTCCAAAGTCATTATGCCACCGTTGGAAGCCCATCTCTCCCGTGAAAACACTGAGGCCAAGAGAAGACACGCGATCTGAGTTGGAATCTGGCCTCGACGAGCCTAGGTTTTCTCCTATGTGAAACAAGAACAGCTAAAACTAGTACTGATTTTTCAGTCTTTGTAGGGAGACTGGTTCAGTGACTGGCCCAGAGCGGAGGCTGACAGATTGATCAGTTACATAGTGATTATTGTTTCTACACTGTTCACAGGTTCTTACAATTTCGTGTGAGCCTCCCACATAGGAAGTAACAAACGGGGAAGTGAGATCCAGAAAGGCAGAGTTACTTGCCCAGGGTCACACAGCTTGCCAGAGGTTTCTGAGTGTGAGGCCTTGCGGCCTAGGTTTCCTGAGTTCCTCCTTTCTGTCCCCCTCCCCTCCCCGCCCCCCCAGGAGGCATGGTAATCTCAGCAGCTCCTCTAAAGGGCTGCTGTGTTTCATCTTTTACCAGGAGGTCAGCAGTAGATCAGGAAGAATCTACTGTCACTTCCTGTCAAGTGGCCAAGCTATCAATCCCTAGCAGGGCAGATATTGTTGTTATAGAATCAAACAAATAAAATCTCTCTGACAATCATTCCTACCTACGCTTTTTGAATGGCACAGGCGAGAGGTGGAGGGAAATAGCTTTGAATGGAAAACATACTCCCTGCCCTGCTATGTGCAGAAAAGACAGAGCTTTCATTTGAGGCTCCACTGGGGTCACATCCCACACTCCACCTCTTGGGGGAGGGGCTGTTATTGGACAGTAACGGTCCATTTTCAGGATGAAGAGGCAAACTGACTTTCCCAAAATCCAGAGCTAGGAAATTGGGGAGCTGGGATTTATGGCCAAGTCTGTGTAATTTCAAGGCTGTAACTACTCTTCATTCAGCTTAGAAGTAGGGTGTTGGGGCAAAAAAGACACCCTTCGTGCATTAATTCATTCATCAAACACCAAACAAGAATATTAGCTTGTATTTCAGCATGTTTCACAAGTCTGGTGTTCAAAAAACCGTGGGTTGTCAGAAACCTGGTTTGGCACTTCTATTTCACAGATGGGAAGTCTGAAGCTCAGTGAGGGGAGGGGACCTGCCTTGGGTCATACAGACAGGACCAGCACTAGATCTCCTGATGTCTCGTATTCCCCACTATCCTTGGATGCTGTATAATATCTCCCTACAGCCTCCCTGAGAGATGGTCGCTGATTCCTGGTTGCATACACTCAGTGACAGGAAGCTCATTATCTCCTGAGGCTTCCCGTTCCCGTTATTATTCAACCACGACAGTTGGGCAGTTCCTCCTCGTAACCAGATGTCACCCAGTTCAGTTAGTCTTATAATGAACACGATATGTATTTATTTATTTATTTAAATATTTTGTTTATTTTTGAGAGAGAGAGAGAGAGAGGGAGACACAGAATCTGAAGCAGGCTCCAGGCTCTGAGCTATCAGCACAGAGCCCAACATGGGGCTTGAACCCACGAACTGTGAGATCATGACCTGAGTTGAAGTCAGACGCTTAACTGACTGAGCCACCCAGGCGCCCCATGAACACGATATTTATTGAGCACTAGCTAAGTGCCACGTGCTGATGTGCGGGGGAATGCAGTGATGAACAGGTAAGTGCCTCTGGTCCATCGCACTCAGAACAGGTCATGTCATGTGGGATGCTCAGGGCTCTGATTGAAGAAACTACCAGAAAACCGCCGTGGACTGCCTTGGCCTGGGAAGAGGAAGAGGGATCCCCAAGGAAGTGATGTTATTCTTTTTTCCAACTAATCTCTACACCAAACATGCGGCTCGAACTCATGATCCCAAGATCAAGAGTCACATGCTCCACCGACTGAGCCAGCCAAGCGCCACAAGGAATGGACATTAAAGCTGAGAAAGATGGGGTGCCTGGGTGGCCCAGTTAAGTGTCTGACTTAGGCTTAGGTCATGGTCTCACGGTTTGTGAGTTCAAGCCCTACATCAGGCTCTGTCAGCATGGATCCTTTATCCCCCCCTCCCTCTCTGCCCCTCCTCCGCTCATTCTCTCTCTCTCTCTCTTTCAAAATAAATAAATAAACCTAAAAAAAAAAAAGCTGAGAAAGATGACAAGGAAGTAGGCAGGTGTAAAGAGAGAAGATGAAATTCCTGGCAGGAAAAAAAAAAAAATAACATGCATAAAGACCTGAAGGCTACAAGAGGTGGTGTTTGCATCCTCTGGTTTCTCTTCAGATCCTGTAAATCTTTCACCTTTTACAAAAGGTGGTGCTTGGAGCCACATTTTAGTCTGATCAGAGCAGCGTGCAAGATGCAGAGGAAAGGGGATTGAGACTGGAAGGGTCAATGGGAATAGATACATTCGGACCTTGTGTATTTCCCTGAATAGATGAAAGCACAAATCAGGGAACAAATGATTGCTGAGGGTTCCACACTCTGTTCCAAGGAACCATGCAGTTCCAGGGCTCACGTCCAAATTGGAATCCCCTGCTGTCGCTGCCCCTTGGCCCTCTGCCTGCACAGGGGAGGCCTTATGTAGCCTGGCCTAACTCCACTGAGCTTTTCTTGGGAATGTCTATAAATAGAGGAAGATGGCGGCCCAGCTGCCACTGTCTGTCTGCCTTCCTTACAATCCAGCCTCCTTTCGCTGGCCCCAGGCTCTGTGCTCAGTTGTCTTAGTGCTCTTTCTGTTGACTTAGCCACTGTCCACAGCATCGGCTACCCCTCTAACACCCACCCTAGACTCTGGATTCTTGGGATGGGCTCCCTTGGGACAGGACTCTGTCTCTGCCCATCCCTTCACTCTCCAAATGGCCAGCTGAGCCGCTCCAGACTTCCTCACCTAGAGAACCTGCCTCTAGTTCTCTAGTCCCCTCTCCCTCAGAAAAGTAAATCCCAAACACCTTTTCCCTGGAGAAGGTATACTTGAGAGAAGGTTCTGCTTTTTCTTTCTTTCTTTTTTTCTTTTTGAAAAATTTTATATGTATTTATTTATGTATTTCGAGAGCGAGAAAGAGAGCACATGAGAGAGGGAAAGGCAGAGAGAGAGGGAGAGAGAGAGAATCTCAAGCAGGCTCTACGCTGTCGGCATAGAGCCCGATGTGGGTTCCAACTCACAGACTCTGAGATCGTGACCTGAGCTACCGTCAAGAGCCCGACACCTAACCAACTGAGCCACCCAGGGGCCCCTTGGGATCTGCTTTCAACGTTTATTTCTCCTCCAACTGCATACCCATCTCCTGGACCCCTCCATAAATTTCTTACTTGGATAGGACTTCCCTTGAGGATTAAGAAGAATCACCAACATGACTGTAGACCTTTATGATTTACAAAGTTCCCCCGGGGAAAAGGGAGTAATAATAGCTGCTACCTCATAAGATGAGCACCAGACGAGATCATGTGGTTAAAATGCTTAGCACAGAGTGTGGCACATTGTAGAGGATCACTAACCATGGCTGTCACTTTCTCCTCGTCCCCTCCCCTGTCTTCCACCATGGTTCAAAGACAGGACAGCCCACTTGCCAACCATCAACCCTATGGAGCTGGCACAAGCCAGGTGACTTATACCCAGGCCCCCGTTTCCCGTGGCCTCTCTGTGGGAGAGGTTATGACCGTCCCCATCTCCAACTCGCAGAGAAGGAAACAGAAGCTCAGAGTGGCATCGCCATCTGCCTCAGAGTGCACAGCTTGCAGAGACAGGACTTGGATCTTGGGTTCAAGACTTCAAGTTTTGTTCTCTTCCCAGCCTGCTGTGCTGCCTCACTTGTCTCTTCTGATTCTCCTTGTCCACCTTGAAGCAAACGTGCGTCTTGAGCAGGGGCTTGCTACGGCGATGGAGCGGGGCTGATTCTCCTCTCAAGAATCTAGGACATCAAGGCCTGCCACCTGCTCAGAGGCTTAAATTTCTCTGCAAGGGCCCTTGGCTAAATTAGGTAATAGGCTAGGACTCTGGGATGGGGGCGGGGGGCGGGGGAAGGCACTTGCTGACCCCAGGATCTGATTGGCCGGGGCAGCCAGTCCTGGGGAGCCGGGAGGTGGGAGGAGAGGGAGCCCCTACAAATCCTAGGGGCTGGAGCTGGCCAGGGCATCTCTGGGTGGTGGAGCGTGCTGAGGAGGTGACCTGCAGCAGAGAAGGCCCTGTGACGAGCAACCATGGTAAGGACAAGAAGGGACTTCATCCCTTTGTTTGCGGGAGCACTTCTGGAACTTTTCCAGGCCGGATCTGGGTTCTCTGTAGTTCAGTAACTGGATGTTTGAAGATGGACCATGAAGGTTTCTGGAGCCTGGGTGTCTAGAAGGATGCCTGGGAAGAAGCCCTTGGATTTCTCTAGGAAGGGGAGGGCTGGGGTGTTCTGGGTATTGCCAACTCCCTGCAGACCTGAGACTTCGGCAGTGTTGGTCATGGAAGTGAGAGGGGGTCCCAGCTTGTCTCCCTCATGGTAGAGGTGGGGACCCCGAGGGCCAGAGTGAGTCACCCAGTAAGCCAGTGGCAGGGGCTGCTAGAAGCCTTGCCAAACCTTCCTACCGCCAGTAGAGAAAACTCTTCTGGAAGAGGGAAGGTCTGCAGGGCCTCAAGCCAGCTCAGGGGCAGGATCCCAAGAGTGAGGAGAAGGGGCAGAAGATGACAGACCCCAGGCTCTCGGAGAGGAGTTCTAAATGACCCCGGGGCTGTCATTTCCCCTGGGGTCCCCCTCCCCACTTCACTTCAAGGGGTAACTAGACCCTGGAGGACAGCTGTTATTGCCCACACCAGACTAAAAATAGCCGACCCTCCTGCATGGGCAAGGAGGAGGGAGGAGGGAGGAGGGAGGAGGGGGCAAGGAGGAGGGCATCAGCCAACTCATGAAGAATGCCTTGGCCACCTCAGCCCTTCCTCACTGGCCCCAGTCCAAAGCCCCATATAGCCAGGTGGCTTGGCTCAGATGTGGGCCAGACCCCCTCCCCCGAAATCTTATTTTCACTTCTACAAGGCCCCCATCGTGCATGACTGGTATTTACTCCAGTGACTGAATGATAAGGAGGGAGCTTAAAATCTCCATCTCCGAAAGTTCTTGGAGGGGAGGGACGCTGTGTCTGAATCTTCCTGGTTTTGGTGCCTAGTCTTTGGCCTGATGGACACTTAGTAGGCGCTCCGTGACTTTGCGTTGCATTATTATTTATCTGAGAACAAACATTCATGGAGCACTACTATGGTGCCAGACTCTGCTAGGAGCTAGGGACAAGTGGGAAATCATGCTGGAATAGTGCTGGCACTTCACAAACCCCTTTCACATTCCCAATGTTATCTCATCTCCGAAAAGCTGCTGAGAAGAGATAAAGTTACAATAAGTGACTTGCCCAAGGTTAGTGGGGAATTCCTGACTGGCAAGTTTGAAGACCTTGGGCATAATCTGTTTCCTCCCTCGTTCTTCATAACTGGGGCCGGGTGCTATGGAAGCGTGCAGAAGGTGTTGCTAGTTTGGGATTGTTCTTCTGGAAGACCAAAGGGCACTGACAGAAGGAGGGTGAAGAGAACGGGGTTAAGGCAAGAATGAGCTCTGGGGCTGCCCCTTCTGCTCTCTGACTCTGCGTTTTCTGCAGACTGACCAGCAGGCGGAGGCGCGGTCCTACCTCAGCGAGGAGATGATCGCTGGTGAGTGCAGGTGGGCGGGCTGGCTGTTGGGTGGGTGTGCTGCGCCCCAGTGTTTGGACCGGGGGTGAGAGAAGGTGTGGGGCTGACAGTCCAGCCAGGCCCACGTCAGACCTCTGCCTCCTTCCCCCCCGCAGAGTTCAAGGCTGCCTTCGACATGTTTGACGCCGATGGTGGCGGGGACATCAGCGTCAAGGAGTTGGGCACGGTGATGAGGATGCTGGGCCAGACACCCACCAAAGAGGAGTTGGATGCCATCATCGAGGAGGTGGACGAAGACGGTGAGCTGGTGGCCCTCCGAGGCGGGGCTGGGTGGCGGGAGAGGCGGGCATCCGGGGCTCGGGCTCACTCACTCACCACCTGCTCCCCACAGGCAGCGGCACCATCGACTTCGAGGAGTTCTTGGTCATGATGGTGCGCCAGATGAAAGAGGATGCGAAGGGGAAGAGCGAAGAGGAGCTGGCGGAGTGTTTCCGCATCTTCGACAGGTGCACTGGGGGCCTGGGAGCCCAGAAGGCACTGGGCTGGGCGAGTCTGGCCGGCAGGGCACTTAGGTCCTCGGGGTGGCGGTGCGGGAGCGGGCGTCGACGTGGCCAGGGGCACCTCGCCCCTGCCTGCCCTGAGCCCTCGCCTGTCCCTTCGCCCCGAAGGAACGCAGACGGCTACATCGATGCAGAGGAGCTGGCTGAGATTTTCAGGGCCTCTGGGGAGCACGTGACGGACGAGGAGATCGAATCCCTGATGAAAGACGGTGACAAGAACAACGACGGCCGCATTGACTTCGACGGTGAGGGCCGCGGGAGCTTGGTGGTGGCGGGGGAAGGGGCTGTGGGGGACGCGCGCGCGGGAACGTCCACGCCAGGGTCCTTGGCTTTGTGGGCAAGGGTGCGGAGCTCTCGGCGGTTTTGTGCAATACCTCCTCCCCCTCCCCTCCGCAGAGTTCCTGAAGATGATGGAAGGCGTGCAGTAAGAAGTCGGCTTCTCCTCCGCCCCGACCGCGCGTCCCTTGGGCCAGGACGGTGCCACCCCCGCCTCGTCCCATCCTCCGCCCCGGGAGGGAGGCGCGGCCCCCTGCTGGCTCTGTGTCCGGAAGGAATAAAAGCAGACGCTGCGAAACGCGTAGACTGAGGGAGGGGAGGGAGCAGGCGAGTGGGTGTCAGGGCCCGCCGGGCTGGGCCACCGTCCAGGGCGCCACCCGAGCGCACTTGGGGTCCGAGGAGGGGCGACCCCAGCTGCCTGACGCGCAGACGCGCAGGTCAGGTTCCCCGCGGGCTCCCGGTAGCTGGGCTGGGCGTGGGCAGCTCGGTCGACCGGCTGCGGTGGCGCCTGGCGCCGGAGCAGGGAGGCCGGGGACTTGGAGCCGTCGGGGTGAGGGTGCCGGGGAGGGGGGGAGGGTGACGGCGCGGCAGGCGGTTGAGGCCCCCTTTCCTTCCCTACGGTCCCTCCTTTCTGGAGCCTTTGGGTCTTCGGTGCAGGCTACCCGGGCTGGGGATGGGAAAGGGAGTATCCATCCGTTCCAGGCAGCATTCGTTCCTGCTTGACTTTTTCTACTTCTCTGTCCTGACGTCATCGTCTCCACCCTGGATCCCTGCCTCCAGCCCCCGCCAGTGCGCTCAACACAGGGCCGTCAGCAGGATCCGGCCGAAAGAAATCTGACCTTGCTCCTCCCCAGTTGAAAGACCTTCAAGGCTCCCCATTGCTTCTAGAATCAAATCCAAATTCCTTTCCCCGCCTTCCCTCCCCTCTCTGGCTCCAGTCACCCTGGGAGACTTGTCACTCCTGCTCTGGACAGTGGGGGTGCACTTTCAAGCCTTCTGGCTTTTGCTCCTCGCACTCTCCCTCCTTGGAATGCCCTTCCTGCTCTAATAAGCCTGGCAAAATTTTCAGCCGAGCTCAGATACCACCTCAAAGATACCAAGACCCAGCTCAGATAACCATCTTCTCCCTTGATCTCTGCTCCCACTGGCTGTGTTCTGGCTTCTGTAACTCTGGGCACACCTCAGTCACAGCAGGCAGCAGGTCAAAGCTAACGCCGGGCAGTGGTGCCTTAGCTTTAGAGGCAGGGCGCTTCTAAATGAGTTTGAACCCTCATTGCCATGACAACACACTGTGTAAAATGGGGATCATGAAGGTTATCACAACCTTGCAGGATTGTGAGAACAAGTTAGTTTGTGCAGAGTGCTTAGAACGGAGTGTGACGCATATTAATGCTATTATTATTTTTTTTATACATTTTTTTTTAACAAATACATCTGAGAGCCCGATGTGGGGCTCGAACTCACGGTGAGATCATGACCTGAGCCGAAGTCAGACGCTTAATCTGACTCAGCCACCCAGGAGCCCTACTAATGCTATTATTAATGTCACTACTGTCACCTGGAACACTGACTTGTGCTGTTGTTCATTGCCACAGTCCTCCCTTTCCAACTCCTCCGTGGTCTTGGCTCCCCTTTCCTAGGCATTCACGGTTTTGTTTCTGTTTCCAGCCAGGGTCAGTACTCAGCGCTAGGACTGCTTCCCATGTGCTGTGCCCTGTGCTTTGCAGGCACATCTCATTCATGCACACAACCCTGGAGGGAGGCAGATGCCTTTTTCTCAACCAGGCTGAGTGAGGTGGTGAGCCCGGGGACACGCTAGCGCGCGCGCGCACACACACACACACACACACACACACACACACACGCGCGGAAACAGGAGCAAGGCTCTTAACTGTGGCACCACCTACCTGTGGACAGTTCTACCTGGCCGCCCTTAGGACTTCAAACCTGTCCTGCCCTGCTCTAATCTAACTCTCCCTCACCTTCTCTGGTGTTCTCCAGTGTTTCTCCTGGAGTTCTGGAGCCCCACCCCCCCTTTCCCACCTGCAACTTGCTCTGGACTGATACTTTCTTTTTATGTCCTTACTCTTTCATCCCTCCTCTCTGAGCCCACCCAGTGTTGTGACTCAGGCCACCATGGTTGCTCAGAACAGTAGTTAACCTCCTGGCCATTCGCTCCCCAGAAGGCTGCCAGAAGTAGCTTTCTGAAACCAAATCTGATCATATCACTGCCCCATTCAAGGCTTTATTAGTTGCCTCAAGGTAAAGTCGCTGCATTATTATTTTTTATTTTTACTTTTTAAAACTTTATTTATTTTGAGAGGGAGAGAGAGACTGAGAGCGGGAGGGGCAGAGAGAATCCCAAGCAGGCTCCATGCTATCAGCAGAGCCTGGCATGGGGCTCGAACTCCTGAACCATGAGATCATGACCTGAGCTGAAACCAAGAGTCAGTTGCTTAACTGATTGAGCCACCCAGGTGTCCCAGAACCTTCTCAGTAGCCTTTAAAGGCCTTACAAGCCCTTTGTGACCTGACTTCCATGCTACTTATGCCATATTCCATACTGTTGAACTTGTTGCTATCCAAGGAATGTGCTTCCTTTTTCCTCCCTCATGACCCATCCATTCTCCAGAAAGCCCTCCTGGACTCTCCTGGTCTTTGTAAGGTGCCCCCCCATCTGAGCCTTCATAGCAACGAGTCTAGCAACCGGCATCTATGGAGTGCTTACCACGTGCCAGGCACTACTCTAAGGTCCGTCTATCCTAGGAGGCAGCTACTATTTCCCGTTTACAGAGAGGTTTAGTCCAAATGTATGCAAGTAACAGAGAGTGGTGTGGGGATTCTTTTTTTTTTTTTTTTTTAATATTTTTATTTATTTCTAGGAGAGAGAGAGACAGCGTGAGCAGGGGAGGGTCAGAGAGAGAGGGAGATACAGACTCTGAAATAGGCTCCAGGCTCTGAGCTGGCTGTCAGCACAGAGCCCGATGCGGGGCTCAAACCCACGAACCGCGAGATCATGACCCAAGCGAAAGTCGGACGCTCAACCGACTAAGCCACCCAGGCGCCCCGGTGTGGGGATTCTAACAATGGTTCTGCCTGCGAGGTCTGAGCTCTTAACCACCACTCTGTATGACACTTATTCAACCCCACTGACCTACCTATCTGGCCCCCGAACTTCAGCCACTGAGGACAGGGCTGTGCTCTTTCCCCTGCTTGATCCCCAGCTCCAAGCACAGGGCGTTTACTGCAGGCCCTCAGTAGTTGTGTGGGGTGAATGGGAGCAATACCTTCTCCGTCTCGTGGCCAATTGCCGGGAACCTAAATCAAATGGACTTAAACTAAAAAGGGATTTGCTGGCTCATGAAACTGGGATGCTAAGGCGTCAGCTGGAGGCCAGTCTCCAGGTCACCTCCGTCTCCCAGCTACTTGTCTCTGCTTGGCTTTCTTCCATCTGCAGCTGTCTGCACCAGCTGCCCAAACACCCTCCTCTTTTAAGCAACCCTATTAGTAAAATCATCTTACTTTCTCCCGGGGATTAATTCCAAGGAACACTGATTGGCTCTGAACCACAGTCTATCCCTGTGGCTGACTCAAGGCAGGCTATTTGGCCATTTGGGGGGCCCAACACTAGGATCAAGGACCCCGTGGAGAAGCTTCCTAAGGCGGGCAAAAAACAAAACAAAACAAAACAAAACAAAACAAAAAAACACCCATCTTGGCTGGCACTTAGTAAGAACCATCTTAGTGCTACTTTCTGAGCTCTCTTCTCAGGCATCCTCTAGCCATGTTATTTTCAAAGTTGAGAGAGTGTCAGAATCCTGGAGAGCTGGTCGGGGCCAAGACTTTGCGTTCCTAACAAGTTCCAGGTGGAAGGGCCACACCTTGAGAACACTGCTCTACATCTCTAACTTCCGGGGGAAGGCAGAACCTCAGGCTCCACCCAGGCACACTGAATCAGAATTTGCATTGGAGGTAGACCCCAGGAAGGCTTCTCTGCACATCTGATTGGGCACCACTGCGGGGAGAGCAAGCCACAGTGTCATCCAAATCCAATCCCAGACCCACAGGCCACTTCTCACCTGCCTGCTCCGTGGGGGTACAGGGCAGGGAAGGAGCCTGGGCTGGCAGGAGTAAGAGAAAGGCAAGAACCTCCCTGATGCCTTCCGCTGCGGGCTGCGGGCTCCTCCCAGGCCTGTACAGCTCTGTGCTGGCGGAGCTGACCAGGCTGGGGGAGGCCAAACCCAGGTGGTGTTGGAGGGCATCTGGCTGCTGTGCCGGTCCACCTTGGAGATCTTCCTGCAGGATCTGGGCCGGGGCCATCACCCTACCTACCCACTTCCCGGACCCCAACTGGTCAGCACAGGAGTCTCCTCTCAGGGGCCCAAAGGCTGTGGCCTGTGGCAGGCCAGTGGAAAGAGGGCCTAGGGGCCGGGGGCCTGGGCCAGTGGGTACAGGATGGGAGGGATCGCCGGTGATGAGCAGGTGAATGTACTTCCTGCGAGTGTGCAGACGTCCATGGGGGGCCTGGGGAAAGGGGGGAGTCGGCAGCTGTCCTGAGGTCTCTGGCAGGGAAGAGGCACTCCCTGGCTGTCTCCCAGACCCTGGGCCTGCTTAGGGTTGAGCCGAGCACCTTCTTTTTCCTTTTTTAGGACGAGAACATCTGCTCCTAAAAGTAGGTGGCTGGTCCTCACCTCCCAACCCCCTCCTGTGCGCACACGCATAGACGCACCCTCTCTCGGGTTCAGCCTCATCTGTAACTCAGCTGGGCAGCTCCAGTATCCACTGACGTCCCTGGTTCGTGTCACAACCCTCTAGAGGCATTTTGAGACCCCCATCTTCTAGGTGAGGAATCAGATGCAGTCATAAAATGACTAAGCTCATAGAGGAACCAATCCTCATCACCCTTCCCGGCCGCACAGCCTCTCAATTGCTTCCAGTCCTTGGAGAGGAGCAGGGCAAGAGCCTGGACCCGATGCTGAGCCCTCCCAATCCAGGAGGAGCTACAAGGCAACTCGTTAAAAAAACAAAAACAAAAACAAAAAAAAACCCAATGTATTTATTTAATATATCTGTCACAAGGGCTCAACCAGAGACTTAATTTAAAAAACAGAAACAAAACAAAAATGACACCACAGTTTACGATACACAGTCCGAGGCAGAACTGAAGGAAAGGACAGACCATCTAAGGAGAAAATAAAAAGACAACACAAGGAGAGAGGCTGGCCAGTCAGGGTTCTTGGCTGGAGACCTGCTTTGAGTAGGTTTCTTGCAGATACTTCTTAAATGCTGGAAGAGAACAGGCAAGTGTCAGTGTGGTGGGGACAGGGTTAGGATGCACGAGAGGGCAGGCAAGGACACGGAGTCTGGGGAGCTGGCGAGGATTCTTTGTACAACAGAGTCTCTTTCTGTTGCCCACCCAGACAGGCCTTGGGGGTGTGTTCTGCTTCCGGTGGGGCTGGGGAGGCGGCTGGGGGCCTTAGCGAGCAGATCATCTGCACAGAGCTTTGCCTTCTACGTAAAAAGCCCATCAATCTGCGTTAATGTGGAAAGAGTTCTCTGATTTTATATAGCAAGCAGGCAAATCAGAAAACACCAAGGCAGAGGCAGAAGTGTGTGACCTGGGTTGACATCCACTCCCAACCTGGTCCTCAGGACACAGTCCCAAGTCACCAGGATCCTTCTGCTTGAGGGGAGCCTTTGAAGGCTCGGGAGGGATCACCTGGTGCCGGAAAGGGACGAAGGACCCACCTGTGGGGTTTTTCCAGAGCTCAGCGGCATGTGTGTTCAAAGGGCTATCGATGTTAGGTTCTGTGGGATGGACAGAAAGACAGTGATGAGCAGGGACAGAAGAGGCTGGCCAGGGGGAGGTCTGACAGGTTCCCAGGTTCAGGGGAGGGGCTGGTCTCAGAAGTCACCTCCTAGCAGGCTCTGGATGGACAGCAGGATGGTCCTGACATCATACAGGGCAGACCACTTGTCCTTCAGGATGTCCAGGCAGATGTTACCCTGGGTGTCCACGTTGGGGTGGTAGCAGGGCGTGAGGAACTTGACCGTGGGCGCGTTGTAAGGGTAGCCACTGGGGAACTCCAGGGAGAGCTTATACCTCAGGTCCTCGTATACCTGGCATCGGAGAAGCAGGTGGGGAGTACACCTCCCCCCCCCGCCCCCAGCCTCAAAGCCCAACCCAAGCTCCCAAAAAGGGGCTTGCTGGGACCTCTGAGTTTCTCTGGGACTTGACAAAAGACAGAGTGTTGCACTGCCTCTGGTTCTTTCTCTCATATCTGGTAGGGACATCAGTGATCCTTATCCTACTGATAAGGGTTGTAAACTGGCATCCTGAGGGCTACCACAGCTGTGCTTTCGTCAGAACATTAGATACTAACAGGGAAAAACCACGATATTTTAGACATACATCCAGAATTTTTTTTAAAGATTTTTTTTTTTGATATAATCTCTATACCCAACATGGGGTTCGAATTACACAACCTGAAGATTAAGAGTCACACGTTCCACTGACTGAGCCAGCCAGGCGCACCTGGACTTCTAATCTTAGACCAGATGTGCACCAGGGAACCTGGGTGCCTCAGTTGGTTGAGTGTCCAACTTTGGGTCAGGTCATGAACTTGTGGATCGGAGTGTGAGCCCCGCATTGGGCTCTGTGCTGACAGCTCAGAGCCTGGAGCCTGCTTTGGTTTCTGTGTCTCTCCATCTCTCTGTCCCTCCCCTCTCTCAAAAATAAAGATTAAGGGGAGCCTGGATGGCTCAGTCCGTTAAGCGTCAGACTTCGGCTCAGGTCATGATCTCACAGTTTGTGGGTTTGAGCCCCGCGTCGGGCTCTGTGCTGACAGCCAGCTCAGAGCCTGGAGCCTGCTTCAGATTCTGTATCTCCCTCTCTCTCTGACCCTTCCCTGCTCACACACTCTCTCTCTCAGAAATAAATAAAACATTAAAAAAAAATTAAAAAAAAAAAAAAAGATTAAAACAAAAACAAAAAACCAGACACGCGGCAATGGCCAGCTACCATCTTGAGATTCGAGGCCTTTTGCTGACCAAACTCCTCGCGTACCCTCCATTCTTCTCCTTTCTGTCTGGCTCCCTGCAGGCATCTAAGATGGAAAGCCCTGCTTTAAACCCAACCTCTTACTGTACAGAGGGAGAGACGAGGGTCATAGGCTCAGAGCACAAGAACAGAACAGAATGTCCTGCCAGGCTGGAGACTTGAAGCTGACCTGCACTTGGATTTCTCCTCATTCATACCTCTCCCCAGACGGAGCAAAGCCACACTCACCTCCCTCAACCCTACACTTACTGTGCCAGCTGCTCCATGGATGGTCCCCACCCATTTGAAAAGGTTGTCTGATTCAGGGAAGGCAGAAATTCCTTTGTCACCAGACATCTGGGGAAGAAACAACACCTGCTGGGCTGCAGAGTACACTTGGAGGGGTCAGTGGGTGAAAGCGACCAGGCCAAACTGATAGGCTTTTCTGAGGAAGTGATTCAGTTCTTGGGGGCTGAACCTTCCCCTGTGGGGAGGGGTACTGGGTATGTTAAGGAGAGGGGATTATGCAGAGAAGCAGAATGGAGCGCTGTACCCCCAATCTTCCTGGATGCTGGAATTCAGTTCAACATGCCAGTGAGTGCTGGTTACATACAAAGCCTGCAGATCATTCACAGACTCCGTAGATCTACATATGGGCACTGAAGGATTTGAGCTGGATATTCAGGGTTAATGCAGACAAGGTCATTTAGGAAGAAGCATTTCAAAGTATGACAGGATTAAGAATATTAAGGGTGGAGAGCAGGGTATGGATAAATCTTCAGGCAAGAAAGTAGGGCCAGGCAGGATAGAGGTAAAGCCTCGTATGGCTTCAGGGAACTGTAGTTTCGAGAGAACTTCATGGGGGTGGGGGCGAGTATGGGATTTGGAGTAGACACTGCCGGAAGGAAAGGTGGGGGTGGGGGTTCTTCTTCCCAGAAGAACGCAAACTGGACTCATGTTTTAATCTGCACCAGCAGGAACCTGATGTAGAAAAGGTGGCTACTGATTAGTGGGAAGTAAGTGGGAGGTGGTGGGTGGGTCAACTGGCGGGGGGTCTAGGCAGGTAGTCACTCACCATAAGGGTCATCAGCTCCTGCTGTAGCCTGCAAAATGAGCGTTGGGAGTCATCTGGGAGTCGGGATGGGCCAGGGTTCCAGGCGGTGCCTCTCCCCCCACCCCAATCTCTTTGGAGGAGCTGTCCCGGAGGCCTCCCCTACCCTGAGGCCAGATCCAGCGGGGGCACACTCACTCCCATTTCCACTGGGGTGGGGGAGGTCCTAGTGAGTCCTCACCCTTCCTAAATCTAGGCTCCCGCAGGGCTGTCTGGCTTGTTCTTAACTCCTCCAGCTTCTCTGACGTCTCTTCCCATGCCGGGTCCCAATTTCTCCCCACTTCCGTCCCCATTCTCCCCCCGCCAAGCCACCGAACGTCCCAGGCACACTTTCATCTTGGCTCTCCCTCGGAGGATCCTGGCAGCCTGCCTCCCCCTTCCGTCCTCTTCGGGGGGTCCTCTCAGGGCAGCCCGAGCTCCCGGCGTGCCCTCCTGTCCCCGTATCTGCCCGCTCAAGGAGGAGGTGGGGGCCCGGAAGTCCGAGCTCTCGACCCCAAGGCCCAGGGCGTGCTGGGCGCGGCCAGGGTTACCTCCACACCCCTCACCTCTTGCCCACGGGGCCCCGGGCGGCGCCCCCGCTGGGCTCGGCTCCTTTGCGGGCGGCGGCGATGCTGGCGGCGGCTGGGTCGCGGTTCTGGGAGGCCATCTGGGCGGCGCGGGCACGGCGACAGGAACTAGGAGAGCACAACTGCAACTGCAGGGCTGGGGGGCCGCCCGCCCGCGTTTGAATTGTAACCCTCCGGCGAAGCCAGCCAATCAGCGGCTCGCTTGGGTTTGATCCAGCCAATGGGGAGCGCCAGAGCGCTCTGTCACCGCGCAACTGCTAGGCCCACCCCCCAGCGTGCCACTATTGGGTGGCAGGAACGGGCTTCGGATGGGCGACTGGCAGAAGAGGCTGCCATTAACTAACGAGTCTGCAGCGGATTGGTGGCCTTTGGAAAACGCCGACCATTAAAGGGCCAAGAAAGAGTCCACGTGGGATGATGAACCCTTACGCGACAAGCGCCCGGGTGCGGTGCCGAACGCCTGGCGCGCCCAGCCGGGATCCGTACTCCCAGGGGAAGGGAGCGTCCCGGTCTTGGCGACACCGGTACCCTTCCCTCAACCCGGAAATCCGTGCACCTCCACCTATTATAATGTCCCGGGCACCTCTGTAGGGACCTCTGTCTGAACACTCATGCGAGGGGAATGAGGGCCAGAGCTGGAGAGTCTTAGAAACAGGCTCGTAACTCGGCCTCTCCAACGGTCCTTTCGTATTTTGACCTGTAAAACGGGGTAGTGGAAGCCTCTCCGCATTTTCTGGTCTGTTACCAACCCCCATGGGGCCAGCCATCACATTCGGCCACTTCGTCTATACCTTAGGTGATGAAGAAATAAGAGAGGGAAGATTAGCAAGGCGCATGATGTTCCCAACCTTGTCTCATAAAGCAGATATGCATGGAGCAGTGGGACTTTCCTGGGGACTGACCTAGAATGGGGGAGGGGTAGCTGGTCGTTTTTCCCTGTGCCTCCTTCTAGAGCCCCTGGTAACCCGTCCATCCCTACAATGCAGACCACACATCAAGCTCACTGTGTTTATTACAAACTGTTTAATTTCTTAACCCGATAACTTTACAAATATAGAACCATGTGCCATTCTGGGGGAGCTCTGTAATGAGTCACTGCAAACTAGCCCAGGCACAGCTTAATGCCGCTGAGATCCATCCAGGAACAGTCCCGGCAGTGGCCTCGGCCACGTGGGGGAGGGCCTTGGAGGAGGGCTGCCACCCGCAGCCAGGAGGCCTGGCTTCAGGTCTGCGGAGGTGCTTCAACAGCACGATGCTCATTCTCAGTCCGTAGTGTCTCCATGTACTTCCGCATCTTCTCAACCATCCAGGAGGGTAGCACAAAGGATTTCAGCTCCTCCAACTTCAGGTCCAGGCATCCTCTGGAACAAACATTGAGGAGAGTTCAAGCAAGGGAGGGTACAGGCCCAGGCTCACCCCAAGGGGCTACTGCGAGGGACGCGAGAGGCAGGGGGCAGATGACCGGTTTTACCTGTAGTCATCACTGGCAGCGAGGTCCCGGATGTCTTCCTCAATGAGGAGGTAGGCCTGAGGCAGGAGCAAAGGAGAGCGGTCACTGCCTTTGATTCCTTTCAACTCAACAACACTTTGTTAAACCTGTGCTTAATGTGACGGCTGGGAGGGAGAGGGGCATGATTTACAATTTAGGGGGGGAGAGGGAGTAGGGAGAGACTGGGGAACAGCTCCCTGAGACCACCTTTCACGCATATGGAAACTTTATGGGCTAGGGAGTGGGACTGGTGACTGGTTTATAGTGTCTTCCTCTTAAAAAGGGACTCTGAGGTGGCTTAAAATGAAATGTCAAGAGAGCTAGCAAAACACATTATGGAAACAGGAAATCAGGAGGAGGAAGCCCTATGTGAACCCTAAGAACAAATAATTTGGCTTTGAACTTCACGGCAAAAGGGGAAACATGAGAAGCCGCGCGCACTGCTGCAGCCCTGGGGCCTACAGGAGAGCTTTGGCACAGGGCCAAGGTGTGCGGTGGGAGAGAGCCCTCTCCTGAGCTTACCATACAGGGGATGTTACTCATCACATGAGAAGCCGTCCGTGAGAGATGGTGCTTTCTGGTCTCACAGTCAGGATGGTGTGTCCCCTGAGTAATCTATTTTCACCTTATGAGCACTGTGAACTATCTAACAGAGAAGGTATTCTAGAGAAGGGCCTGGAGCTAAATTTGCGAAAACCCACGGAAGTGCGCTGGTTTATCAAGTCAGCAATTAAAAAATTCTCCCTTTTAACTAGGCTTGAGGCGCCTGGATGGCTCATCGGTTGAGCATCCGACTCCGGCTCAGGTCATGATCTCATGGTTCATGAGTTTGAGCTCCGCATCAGGCTCCCTTCTCTCAGTGCAGAGCCTGCTTCGGATCCTCTGTCCCCCTCTCTCTGCCCCTCTCCTGCTCATGCTTTCTCTCTCAAACATAAAAATTAAAAAAAGAAATAAAGCTAGTCTTGCTCATGGCTTAACCTTAGATCCTGCCGTTCCTTCTTCCCATCTATTTCTATAATATTTATGTTATGTTGCATTTTATGTATCAGTGCTACGCTCCCTGACATCTTCTTAAGCAGGGGGCAGGAATAAGAAGAGTCATAAAGCAGAAGATGGCTTTTCTTGCCAGAAAGGAGACAGCACACTGGTTTGCAAGACCCGAGTTCTAACCCGAGCAGCCTGGTGGCGGAGCTGAGCCCTTGGGGCGGGGGCAGGGGAGGGGCTGCATGTGATGAACAAAGCCCTGCTTCTTTTAGAGCACACGAAGCGATGATTCCTCCCAAGACTGTTGCTGGATATAAACTAAGTACTCTTTAAGCAGAGGGGATTCTGGAAGGGGCCGCTAGTGTGGCAAACGAGTTTTACTGCACGTGCTAACTCCTACTGACAAGACGGGCCGCCTGGGCCACTGTGCTGGGGCGATGCTACAGCTGTGTCTGGTAGAAGAGTGCTGTGGCCACGAGGGAAGTCTGTCGTCAGTGGGCACTAGGGGAAAGTTGTGTTAAGTGTGTCTTGCGCTGGCCATTTTGAGGCACAACGAATAGAGTCTAAATACAAGGGGTGACGTGGGAGGCTGAGGGGGTGCTGTGTAGGAAGGGAATCCGGGGAGTAAGTCCGATCTCCAGCATAAACGTGGGCCCTCTCCCCCGACAAGTCTCCCTTTCCGCATTCATCAGGCTCTGAGGGGCGCAGGCGCAGAGTCAGCAGGAACCGTGGTCCCTGGGCCGGCAGGGTCTCTGACATGGCAGGTGTGAATGGCGCTTACCATCTTCCCTCCTGTTGCCCGCATGTGATGCTGCTCGGCCAGCCAGTGCTTGTCCTGGGGGTCAGCTGCATACTGTGAGGGGGGAGATCACAGACATTAGCCGAGGGAGGGGAGCTTTTCTCATTCGGTGCTGGAGCATCTCGGCCCCTGAGTAGCTCTTACTAAGACGACCTCGTCCCGGCCTGGTGGATGGAGAGGGCTCGCCGACTTCTTCACAGCAAGCAGAGCTGAGCCCAGGAGCCCGGGGATGGACCCCCACACCAGAGAGCGTTAGCACACTTTGAATCCCTGCCCCTTCCTTTCTCAGAACACAGAACTCCAACAACCGGTCAGACTGATAACTACTATTCTAGAGCTCTACTCCTCAATGAAAAATGACCCGAGGTAGCTTACAGCACAAGCGAATGGCTATCGGTGACCATTATTTTCTAAGACAAGAATCAGGACAGGTCACGCTCAGGTGGAGGCAGAATAGTACTGTGGTGAAGAACTTTGTTTTGTGTGTCTGTTTGTGCACTGCCAGGTCTCTAGCTCCTTGAGAATGTTTAGCACTCAATAAATACTTGCTCAATGAATGAATTTTGGAGTAAAAAAATAAGATCAGAGAACACTATGCACTAATGTACATATCATGGCTATTGATATATGCATAGTCACGTCTCTAAAGGACACACACACACACACACACACACACACACAGACACCCGTGGGTGCACAGGGAGGGAATGGAAAGCAGCTACCACGTGGGTGAGACTCCTCTCTAGCGGAGGAGACTCCAAGTCAAGGGTGAATGGGAACTTTGTGTTCTGTTCTTGATTAGGTTCTGTATATTGAGTCCTTTTACGATAAGAATGAGCTTATATGTTATTTCTATAATGAAAAAAAGTTAAAAAGGAAAAAAAGTTGAATGATGCACTAGGAGGGCAGAAGAATGGGCGAAAGATTCAATAAGCAGTGTACAGAAGAAACACAAAGGGGCTCGTCGAAATGAATGAAAAGATGCTCACTGACACTAACAGAGAATATAAAGTAAAACAACAAAAACATTTTCCCTCCACTCCCTAGACTGGAAAGATTACGGTGAACTCACGCCCCCCTGTAGTGAGTGTGGATCGACAGTTTATCACAAAAGGCGACCTGAGAATGGGGACTATTTGCTGGCAAGGACGAGCATTTACTGAGCCCTTGCTGTGTGCCAGGCATTGCTCGGGGAGCTTCACCGCACTCTCTCGTAATTCTGCACATCCTAAAAGGTTGGCTTGTATCATTCTCTTTTGGTAGGTGACAAGACAGACCGGGAAATGTGAAGCCACTTGCTCAAGGTCACCTGGCCACTAAGCAGTGGAACCAGGACTGAAACCACACCCTTAACCACTGAGCTACTGCGGTTCCAAGTAGGTCCCAGAGCACAGGCACTTGGGAGATGATGCAGGAAGGGTTTTGGAAGAGGTGGATGTGACACAAGAGCCATGCAGAGACCAGACTGGGGTGGGGGGAAGGTCATCAAGGGGAACAACAGGAGTGAAGGCACTGAAAGGAAAATGAGGTAGCAAGTAGGCACACTGTCTAGGTGCTGAGGAGCCCAGGATATAAGACTGAAAAACTAGAAGCAAGTCTGCTCTTCAGAGAACTTGAACTTGCAAAGAATGTAGTAGACAGAGCCATAATTCGAGGACCCCAAAGGAGCTGTATACTTCCGGTAAGATGTATACATCCGAGCCTTATGCATGGATGCAGAATCAGCCGGCCTCAGCACACATGCACTACTATTTTTGTAATACATTTGGATGCTTAGGTGACTGAAAAAACAGAAATTCATTTAAGAGGGTGAGTGAATTCATGCCCCTCCCCCATTATTTTCTTAAATAGTGGAGACCAAAGTATCTTTGTCT